TGATTATGTTTATTGTGTTTATTTTTTCAATTTCTAATATCTACATCAATTTTGAAGCATTACAACCTAATTGTGATGGCATGATTGGGAAGATATTCAAATAAAATTGCATTACAATCCACCTTTCATTGGATCCGTTTTCCGGTACTCACCTAACAAAACACTAAGATGGCTACTTTTATTTCATGTTCTCTTTTATCTCAAAAGAATATCAAGTGGATGTTTATGTCTTATTATATATTTACTTATGCTCATTCACACACAGAACTGTAAGATAATACAAAATTATCTATAAATTTGTTTGATATTTGGCTAATATAAAGATGTCATATGTTGGTTATAATTTCGTGTGTTACTGTTGTATTTTTTTAGCCAATATAAAGATGTCATATCTTATTGTTGTATTTTGTTTAGCCTAAAATACTAAAATAATGGCATATGTTGGTTATAATTTCAGATCAATTGATCCAATTTCTCCAACTCAAAGCTCAAGCCAGGTCTTTAAAGTGGTGAACCATCTGATGGACCATCTATCTGTGGATTTGGCTGCATTTTGGTTAAACTTTTTGCAAAAGGGTTATCGTAGAAAGGTACTTAATTTTGGTTTAACTTGAGTTTGTTAATGGTACCACTTTGGTTGTACATGTTCACGAGACAACGATTTTGGTCCAAAAACATTTACAAATCATAGGTCTCATCTTTTGTAACTTTAATCTTGTAGACATTTGCAGCAATTCCTATGGAACCACAAGGAATTGTACAAATTTGGGTTATCTCAGAAGGTTTGTAATTCTTTTTGTTTTTTTTTTAAGTTTTCAATGATAATATGTAACTTAAGAGAGAAAATTTGATGTAATCACTACCTGAGTGATTATTAGTCTATTTAAAATTTATTGTTCTTTGAAATTTTTAGTACTCCCTCTCTCTCTATATGTGTTCCTTCTGGTTACTAGGTGATTTTTTTTTATAATCATTTAGCATATGGTCTATCTTTTTCCCCAATCCACTTATCAATATCTCTCTCGATATTTACACGTTGGCATGTTTATTTCTTAAAAGGTTTTTATCAGAGTATGTTTGACTGTTTGAGTGAACATTTTGACCGTCGGCCTGCATCTTCCCCTCGCCAGGTTGATGTTCGGTAATAGTACGATGGAGGTATTCAACCTTTAACCCTGTCATTTTTTCCTTAATCCATTGTCATTTTATTCATTATATTGTGCAAACTTTTGGGGTGTTTTACTGTGTTCCTAATCTCAAAAAAGTTCATAAACACACACCTACAGATCAAATGACACACGTACATACATAAAAAATCAAATCCATACACACACACATACAAATCAGATCATACAAACATATGTGATCTGATCTATATGTGTCTACGTGTGATCTGATCTATATCTGACATGTTTGTGTGATCTGATCTCTATATATATGTGATCTGATCAATTGTTATTATTTATACAGCCACGAGGGGAAGCATGGAGTATTTTTGACCCAAAGAAGAAACATCATGCTAGGATATGACTGGTAATCGTCTTTCATTAGTTGCAGCTTTATGATCCCAATTATAGTGCAAGAACTTGATGGGGATGGAAAACTAAACAAAATTCTTTGAACCAAATGTGCATAATTTGAGGCACGGAAAGAAGAGGATTTCATGTTTTGTTTGTGTGTGTATTTGGAAATTAATGGTTTGATCCTCTCTTTTGTCAATTTGATGCATCATCTAATTATAGAGGATTTTCATCTTTTTTCGAAAATGACTTATTTTACCCCTAGGTCATTTTTTCCGGAAATGACATATTTACCCTTGGTTTGGTCCTTTTTGCTTTGGTTTGGCACTCTATTACTTCAGTTTGGGGTTTAATTATGAAATAAAACTACATCAAGATTTAAGCAAGTAGTTAAGATGACACAACAAAAGGCTAGGTATGCAATTTATTTTGATTTGTTTTCTTTTTACCAATAGAGATAATTCATTTTTTTATGACATATGATGCGATTATTCACTATTTTAATAACGTATGTTAAGATAATGAGGATCGTTATTGGCTTAATGCAGTATACATCTAAGGAGGTCTTACAGCGTGTGTACGTTTGGGCCAGGCCAATAGTGCCAATCTTGATTTTTGGAGAATGAATTTTGAGGTAAGCTTTTATATTTACGTGATTTAGAGCATATATTTTTTTAATATTGTTTTCTAATTTGCAATCTTTTTCTAATACATTAAGCATGCTTATTTTTCTGGTTGTTGGTTTTTTGATAGAAGTGAGAGGACAAGGAATATGGGCAGTCGGGTTTGGGTTTTCATGAATGTGGTAACTGTTTTTGAAGCTAAGACCATGTGAAGAAGAGCTTGCCAAACATGGATATAATATTTTGAGTATATTGCGCTAAAGAATCCATTTGAAATGTGCTTTGTTATTTTCATTGTTTTGTAATTTTGCCAATTTAGGCACTCTTTAATACAACACCATTTTATTTTTTTGGATGCAAGTCAATGATCAACTATTGATACTATGACTATTTGAATCAACTATGAAAAATACTTCAATATGTATTTGCTATTCTCTTGCTCTGATTTAGGTTACATGAGAACAACTTGCAGTTTTTATTCTCTAAAAGGACATCTAAAACTATTTTTTTGTAGTTATTGTTGTTGTACAACTGTTTTTGTGTAGTGATTGTTGGTTTAAACAATTTCTAATGTAATATATAAGCATTATGTGTAGTGATTTTTGATAAATTATTTAGTTGATTTATAAAACTGATTTCAAACAATTTTTATTGTAATATATAAGCATTATGTGTAGTGATTTTTGATAAATTATTTAGTTGATTTATAATACTGATTTCTTGAGCCTTTATTCAAATTTTTATGTGTAGGTTTGATTATGAAGAGTATATCTATGGGTTGAAAGATTATGAATATTAGAAAGTTGAAAGTAATGTACAAAAACTAGGTAGTTTTTGTTAGTGTTCTTTGTTTTTCATTTGTTAGAACTGTGAAAAAATGACATAATCGGCATGTTTTATGGGTTTGTGTTTTTATTAGTTTAACTAGGAAGAACAAAATGTCTAAATATGGTTATAAAAGAGAAGTTGAAATCCTTGGATTGATAGTGTTTGTGGAAACGATTTTGGATTTTAATTAAAATATTAAATATTAATTTTGAGTTTATTTTAGGTAAATGATAGATATAAATGATTTTTAGTAGTGGACCAACCGGTCGGACCAGTCTCAAAAACTGGAAAAACCTGATGATGTAATAATGATATTATTATTAAATTTAAATAAAAAAAGATAAACAAAATAAAATTTTAAATTCCCGGTTTTTACTGGTTCTACTAGATCGGTTTTTACGGTTTCACATGATGAATGGTTTTTTGGCCTTTAAGACATGTTCCCGGTTGAACCTACGGGTCCGCTCCAGTTTTCGAAATATACATAATACTGTAAAAATTTTATAACTTAAAATGGCATGCATTTCCTTTTTAACATAAATACTAATAATATACAAAAAATAATTAACCAAAGATATTTGAAATGAATATATTACTACATTTATTTACCAACAATGGTGACAAGTAATTAGACTTGGTTAAAAAAATGAGGGGATTCTTACAAAAAAAACCTCAATGTTTACTTTGTATTATTAGATCAAAAAGTATAATCATATCCAATAGATTCACTTTCTAAATGGATAGAGTTTCATTGGGCTCATACGATAACGATAAGAGTTAAGATAAAATTGAAGAATAAATATTAGAAACCTAAGTTATCCATGTCGGATCATTCAAAAAGGGGATAGAAACAAAGAGGGTGAAAGTCGAACACCAATCAGCTTTGAGATATTCGTGTTTACTGTTGCAACATGTAGCTATGTTAGTAATGTTCTAATTATATCTTTTATGGAGTTTATACCATGATTTGTTATTATATATGGGATAATACTATTATGGAATCTCGATCCATCAAATGGATTGTGTAACGGCACCCGATTGATATGTATAAGTCTTCAGCATCATGTCATTGATGCCGAAATAGTTGTTCGTCAACATGTTGGAAAGATGGTATTTTTCCAAGGATTCATTTATGTCCGTCTGAAGATGACATGTTCTCATTCAGGCTGAAGAGGAAATAATTTCCAATTCGATTATGTTTTGCGATGACAATCCATAAAGCTCATAGAGAAACAATTCCAAATTTAAGTATTTATCTTTCGAAAACAGTTTTCTCGCATAGCCAACTTTATATGACATTGTCCAGAGGGATATCACGTGCGAATATAAAAGTATTAATGAACCCTGACGAACAATTCAGCGGCAGTGAAGTTTATACATCAAATATGGTGTATAAAGAAGTGTTGCACGATTAATAATACACAATCAATCATGTGTTCATGTACATTTGTAAAGAATTCCAATTTTTCATTTTTAATTCTTATTGATTTCGTTTCTCCTAGCATGCCACTTATTGATAATTGTTTATATGTAGTAAACTATTTACACAAAAGAACAAAAAAAATTAATAGCCTTTTGAAATTAATTTCTAAAAAATATTTGCACCCGTCGCTTGGCGTGGGTAAACGGTTACTATATATATATATATATATATATATATATATATATATATATATATATATATATATACAAAAATAAAAGGGTGAAAATGACATTTTATAAAGTTCAAAGTCGATCATGAAAATGATATTTTAAAAAAATAGAAAATAGCATTTTAAAAGGTGTCTTAAATAGTGTAAGGTGAAAACTGTAAATTTAAAAAATATAATGGTAAAAAATATTGTTTTACAAAATAATTTGAAAAATATAAGGTAGAAACAATCATTTTTTTATAAAAGTATGGTGGTTAAACTTGTCATTTTAGAAAATATAAGGTTAAAAAATATTATTTCGCAAAGTATTTTAAAAAATATATTTGAAAATATATAGGATACGTCAGTGGAAACCATCGCTAACATTACTTTTTAATGTTTATATAATTAAGTTATAAATTTACAAACATTACAATATTGCCAACTTTTTCATATTTTCACTCTAATGTTCAATAATCGTTCTCACCCCTAACCTATTACATATATACGGAATTACTTATGTCAAAATACAAATTAAGCATACAATCAAAGATTTTTTTATTTGGAAAATTCAAGAAACAAAACAAAACAAATCGTATAATATAATAACTATATATTTTGAAGCTAAGGAAGCGGAGAACTAAGGCCCTCTTGTGAAGACAACGATCGAAGATTATGGTTTCGCCTAGAAGACGAGAATCGCTTGAACGATGCTCTCTTGTTTAAACGATCAAGTGTTCTTTTTGTATACATCGATTGGAAAAACGGCGACGCTCTCTCCTTCAATTTCAAAACGATGAAGAATATGATGCGATAAGCAACCAAAATTGCAAATATCGCCAACAAATCCCACCATTTTGAGTGATCTAATGGTAATCGATACATTTTCCTAATCACATCTTCTCCTGTCATTTTTGGGTCCCCTGGTGATAACCCATCAAACACCAACCCTATCATGTCGTTTTTGTATGCTCCCTGCATTTTTAATTTTTAAATCCGAATATTCATGTACCAATAATAGCAACATATTTATATTTTTTTACCCAATATACAATATGTAAACTAAAAATTATGAGAATTTTCAAATTCCAGGTTAATCGGTCCTGACTTGAAAGTATGGGTAAAAAAAATGTAACGTGGAATTTGAAAATTATGATAATTTTTAGTTTGAATTACCTGAAGCGACCATGATCCATAGTTTATATATGAAATGGGATAGCGCCAAAAGATTTTTGGAAGATCGGGTAATTGGCGAAAGAAACCGGAAGTCATCATCATGACACCCTACATCAAATTCACATAATTACTCATTTAGTTATATTGTGTATATTTTTCAAAGTATAATGTTGTAATAGAATGTGGTGTTTAGATTCTTACAATGACTCCGGCTCCGGTTACTATTCCCATAAGGAAATTGGGAACTAGTGATGCAACAACCATCATGCAGCTTTCGACAACTGCAATTGAGGCGAAGAGATTGAGGCAATAGTAAGCATATCGGGAGAAGCCGTTGCGGAATTTGACCATGTTCCATGTGATAGTCCCGGTGACTAATGAAATCGCGAGCATGAATGGTAAAGATGAAAGGAAGTTTGAGAGGATGAATACGGATACCCCGTAGTACCCGTTGAGTCGTTCTCGTGTGAAAATCTGTAATAATGTTGATTAGTAGAGCCAAAGAAATGGTAATGTACTTTTCTTGCATATAATCCTTAGGAAAAAGATTGAAACTAAATGCTTTAAATGAGTTTTTATTTTAACTACAATTCATTCGCAAAAGAAAAACTAAGGTATTGTATGATGATATAATAATTAAATGAAAATACATTGCTAGTGCTTGCATTTAAGTGTACCTTCATATCTTCGATGAAAGACGGGAAGCTTCCAATTGACATAAAAACCATGAATCCGGTTATAAAACCGCCACATGCACCTCGTGCTAGGATCGCAGTGTACCCCGTACCAACATCAAAAAAGATTGTACCAACACATATTGATACAATCGAGTAAATAATTACGCGTAGCCAATAATATCCAATATCTCGTGACATGTTTATAAACGAGCGTCTAGTCAATGTTGTGAGTTGCTTCCACCATCCCGCTTGGCTTTTTGTAATCGTGCTTGTTTGTGGTCCATGCTTCATTAATAAAAAGGTAGTAATTTAGTAAATGAAAGTATGTTGCTATTTTTTGAATTTGTGAGGGGGTTTGATTTTGGAAAACTTACTAATGTGGATATTTGTTTCATCTTTGATTGAGCTTTCTTGGAATATTTTGACCATTTGTATTTATCGACTAGTGTGGCTTTTATCTCGGAGGTTGTGAACTTCATGTATGTGTCTAATCCTTTCGGTTCTTCCTAAAGCGCATCAAATCAAAAAGATTAGCGTTGCATTCATGTCGACATATTAGAGGGTTGAATGTAAGAAATAACAATATACTATGATTGATTTGTTTTTTTATATTAGAAGTTACAACAATATACTTTGAAAATCATACGACATTATAGCAATGTCATTCAAATTCGAAGTAATTTTCATTGTTATAAATTGTGTGGAATTTTTAAAATATTTTGTCTTTAATAAAGAAAAAAAATGAAAGTACAATGCTATGATTGGGTTGATAATTTAGAGTGAATGTCTTGATAAGAAAAAAAACAGATAGTAGAGTGTAGTAGAGAAAGAATGGCTAATGCAAAAACATAACAAGTTTTTCTTAGGAAGATATTGTAATTTGAAAAATATACATATTTAGAAAATTGTACTTTCATTTTCTAGGACATTATAATATGGAAAATCTAACTAGTGGTACATATCATTTTGTATTTACATGATTATTAATGTTAAAAACTAAAATGATAACACATATTTACGATGTCTATTAAAAATTATATGGTTTTTTATTATTTATTAGTAAATAATAATATTTGCCGTTGCAAAAAAAAAAGAAAAAAATATATAATAACGACATATAAAAAAAACTCAAAAACAAAAAAAAAAAAAAATCCTAAAGTCAAAAGAGAAAAAAACAGTCTTTGGTTAGGTAATATAATACAATAATAAATAATCTATTTCTTGCACTAGATTTAACATATTCGAAAGTAACTCAGAGAAACTTACGTAATTTCTTTGTGATCCTTTCAAGGTCGCTGTCACCACGTCAAAATCCGAATTGATACACCGTAAAAAATGATCGGAGGGATTCCTCTTCGTCGGACATGGAAACCCAGTCTCTGCAAAAAACTTAATCGCATCTTTCGCTTCTCCAAAATACACCATTTCACCTCCAGACAACAAAAACAGATCATCAAACAATGCAAAAACTTCACTACTCGGTTGATGAATCGAAGAAACCACAGTTCTTCCATCACGAGCTACACTCTTAAGAGCTTGAACCACAAAAAACGCCGATGCACTATCCAGACCACTAGTAGGTTCATCCAGAAACAACAGTCGAGGTCGAACAAGGATTTCAAGAGCAATACTTAATCGTTTCTTTTCTCCGCCGCTTATGCCTCTCAAATGCCAGTTTCCGATGAGTCTGTCGCCGCAATCCTCTAAACCCATCTCCATTATTGTTCCTTCTATGATATCGTTCACTTCTTCGTTTGATAATGTCGTTGGAAGACGCAAATAGGCTGAGTATGTGATTGTTTCTCGAACTGTGAGCGTTCCCATTAGTACGTCTTCTTGTGTGACATAAGCCTGCGATTATTGATTCATTTTACAATTTCAAAAGGGGGAAATCGAATTGTTGGAGGGAAAATTTGTTGTCGGAGTTGAAATCACTTACGACGGTGCCGTAGCTTAGTTTTCTCTTCTCGCCGTTGAGAAGAATGTCGCCGGTCCTCACCACGTTCTTCGATAATCGATCTGTAATCGACTAATCGTTATGATCAAGACTGTATAGCGACTTAATTGATTAGAAAAGACAAGCAAAATGTATATATACCTGCTAGGGAATCGAGAAGAGTGGATTTCCCGGAGCCAGATGGACCCATAATGGCCATGATTCGACCTGGTTCTGCAAATCCGGAGATTCCATTAAGCAGTCTCTTGGTGTGTCCATGGCCGAAGTTAGGTAGCACCACCGTTAGATCTCGCCACACCAAATACGTTGCTCTTTCCTTCATACTCCTGCTCGGAGCCATAGTTACTCCGCCGTCGTCACTGTCATGATCGGCGGTTTCATCAGTATTAACGACATTGCTACGGCGATGGTAGCCACCGCTGCTACTGGCGGGTTCTATTTCCATTGTTGATTCTTCAGGTTTTTTTTGAAAGATGAAGTGAGATAAAAGTAGATACCACTGAACGTCTGAACGTATAACCACCTTCGAATCGCACCCTTTTGGGGTTGCAGTGTTGGTGATGGATGGGTGGCGCATTTAGTGGAGGAATACGGTTGGCTGTTGTATCACATTTATTACGGGTGCATTTCACATTTGCATTGCATATTTATTGAAACCATGCCATTATCATAAGTAGATTTCTTGGTTCGAATGTGATACTAGATTTTAGATATTGTGTTGGATCTTAAAGCTTATTATATAATTTTAAGAGAAAAATGTAAATATGGTCTTTTTGGTTTGACGTTTTTATTTATTCCGGTCACTATGGTTTCAAATTGTAATTTTTTTGTAAACCGGTTTGGTTGTAAATTTGATTCTCTGTCAAAATTAAAAAAATTAATTATCATTTTAATTTATTTGTTATATTTTTTGTTAATATTAATTATCATTTTAATTAGTTGTGATCGAACTTTTCCTTTATAAATAAACTAATTATAAAATAGAAACATAACTCTCCCCACCCCACTCTCTTATTCGTTATACCTTTCATCTTCTGCCTCGACCAAAGTTCTAAATAACTTAGAGGCGTGAGCTTGATGACAAGTTTAAAGTTAAGTCATGACAAGCTTTGGCGAACCATGATGTTTTTCAAAACTTGACTATTTTATATACATTTAAAAAAATAAACCATATAATTATTGAATTCTATCAAATATATTAAGTTTTTAGAAGTGTTATGTTAATATTTAATATAAAAAAATTAACAAAACCTTAATTATTTTAGGCTCGATCAGAGAGAAAAAAAAACTTGTTCCTTGAAAAATTTCGCGTCATAACGTGATAAGACGCGTCTTAACACGTTATTTGGACGTTATGTTTAACAAACCCGTCTTAGATGTTTTCATAACGACTACACCACGCTTCACGTCATGACACGCATTGAGGCGCACCATGGCACGCTTTTTAAAACCATGGTCTCGACCAACTCCAATAGACCTTCAAAATTGTGGAAAGCATCTATATTTTACTCTAATGGACCTTTAAAAGTATAACCATTTTTGTGGAGAAAATTGATGGCCATTATATTTAGTAGACCATTCTTCCAACACCAAATCATTTTTCAATATAAATGCAGTATTTTATTATATATGTAATGTTTAAAATATTATTAAAATATGTTATTTATTATAATATTATTAAAATATAGTTTTGGTGTAAATCTTTAGTGTATGGTTTGAATAAGAATTGTATTTTGGTGTAAAAAACACAATTTTAGTGTTTTTTTTAGTGTTTGTGCTTGGAGTTCGTCTTAATCTCTTATATTCTTCTCCCCCCATTGTCTTCTCCGGGAACTAAAACCGATCACTGCCGGCACATACATTACCACTATTATAGTTGTCACCACCACCACCACAAAAACATACCAAAAACATCTTATTCGGAAACCCTAATATCACTTTTCTTGATCTGCCTAGTGCCTAGCCTTCCTAAGTTGCCCCAACACCATTTCATAATCACCATTACTAGGTTTCAAGCACTTTTTCTACAATTATGTCTCTAAAAAACTTTTATGCGTTATTCTAATGACACATCGGACGATACAACCCAATCAAAATCCTATAAGTATTCACAATAAGCTCAAACACCATTTTCATCCATCTCCTCTTTTATCGTTAACACTATATTCGTTGATAACGAATCCACAGACATCCTTGTAAAATCCGACAACAAACCGAATATGTCAGTCACATGGAAACCATAATCTTACCTTGTGCTCTTGTATAACATATCATTGTAAAACTTAATCATAAAAAGATATATAAGAACATGGAAACACAAATTTGATTCCAACATACAATTTGAAACATCGTATGTGTTGAGAAGTTGAAGATATGTAATTATTCGTTCCATGAGAGAAGTTAGAGTTTCTGTAGCAGCCATGTCTCTTTTTTAGCTCTACAACGGATATATTTACATCCAACTATAAGTATCAATTTGAGCTATATTGACTAATGTACCTTCATCTTAAGCAGTAACTTGGGAAAACTAACAATATGATCCAATTCACTTGTGGATTTACAAATCTATATATAGGATTTATGAATTTTGAGGTTGGAATGGGAGATAGAGGTTATGAAAGATGGAAAATTTACAGAAAATATAGTTGCAATTGACTAAGATAGGGATATGTAGTGGGGGTGTGAGTTTCTAGTAACGATCATGGGGTTATTAGTTTCTAGTGATAGTAATGGATCATTGGTTGTTAGAGGGGATGATGGTTACACATGAGAAGTTGAGGCTATGTATGGCCTCAAATGGCCTTCCATAAAATTAAGACAAAATACGTAGACTATAGATGATTTAGGGTTACATCTCTGATGATGAAAACATGAGTTGTCAATAAGCCTCTAAGGTGGAGATTTTTGATATGTGGAGTGTAACTTAAATGGTGAAGGAAAAGTTGTTTTGACAACTTCGTCCTAGGGAGAAGCATAAAACTTCAGCTTTAAAACTCTAATCTAGAGTTGTACAGAGAGTGCAATGTTTGAAGTACCCGAAGAAGTCTCTTTTGTGGAGTCTCCGGAGAGTTTTATTGTTAAGTTCCAACAAGTTTTGGTCTTGAGGGACAACGAAGAAGTTCAGTCATAGCTTCAGTATTGACTATGCTACTTTGGACAACAAGTTTGACTTTAGGACAACCCATGATCGTTACTATAGACGTAGTTTACCTATAGATGTAGTTTGATTATCTTGATTAAGTGGAAGTAACTTGATTGTGTTGATAAAATGAATCATATTAAATCTTTTTTTTATGTCTTGTTTAATCTTTTCAGTGTTGTCATCCATATTGTGTTCATAGGTTTGTCAAATTTTCATCTAATCAGTACCCAACATTAATGTCGTTCATCGGTAATGGAATCTCCTCCTATGCTAGAAATCAAGAAAACCTTTCTTCTAACCAAGTGTTCATAGGTTTGTCAAAATTTCATCTAATCAGTAGTACCCAACATCAATGTTGTTCTCGGTAATGGAATCTCCTCCTATGCTAGAAATCAAGAAAACCTTTCTTCTAACCAAGCAACAAGGAAGCTTATATGTTGACTTGGTGTGTAAATAAATAAAGGGTATGTTGATTTGGTGTGTAAATAAATAAAAGGTTGACTAAAAAGACACCCAATTTGGTTAATTAGACAACTGTTACTAATTAGACAATCCAATCATTACATGATAATCTCTATTTACTTTTAAATAATAATTACATAATGATTATTTATTATTTTTGATTTTTTTTTGGTTTAGAACACAAGAGATTGTTATAAAGAAAATAATAATGTATAGTATTCATAAAATCATGAAAATTCATGTTTTTGAATAATTAAATATTGTTTTGTTTACCTTATACACACAAATTAGTTTACATCTAATTTTTTTATTGTACACCCTTGATTTTATATAATTTAATATGTTTAGTATTTCATATTATTTATATAATATCATATCTTTTCAACGGGTGTTGCTAATTCGTAAATTTGGATTTGCAAATTGTTGTCTGATAGAACTTCCCCCAATAGATATCTCTCGATTTCGAAATGTATCAAAGCTCTAGCTAGTAAAAAAATGGGGATCCCGTATTTCAATGGTTGAATTTCATATTATAATAAACCCCGTAATCGTAAAAAAGTAGGTTTTTTTATCTATCGGCCTACCAAAATAAAATTGGGATAGGATCTCCCCCCCCCCTCAAAATCGGAAGTGAAAGTTTCCTTTCATCCAGCTCGAGTAGGTATACCAAAAAAAGAAAAAGAAAAGAGTTCTCGCTTTCAAATTCTAGAAAACTCCAAAACGATCTACCATTACTAAGTCTTCCATTGACACCATGTAGTAGGGTAATTATGTGTTTGACATACATTTTTATTATCATTATTTTTGACATTTTTATAGTCATTATTCTCTTTTACATTTTAATTAATAATTAGAACAAAACTTTGTTAACTAGATTACTACTTTCATTATTTACATAATTTACCTTTAAGTTTGAGATAGTTTCATGTTCAAAATTTTGTTTTTATTTTTCTTTATTAATTCATTAATAATTATCTTTTTATATTTATATTCAATATATATATATATATATATATATATATATATATATATAATATATATATACTAAGTGTGAGACCCATGTATTACATAGGTTTATTTAAAAGAAAATTTAAATATAAAATTCAAAATATTTAAGAAGTTTGAATTTATAAGAAAAGTGAGAAAAATATTGAATTATAAAAATTAAAGTGTATTTTCTCTTTTAAATTTAAAAAAATAATTTAGATAAATAAATAAAAGAAGTTAATGAAACATTAATTTAGTAATCTTGAAATTAGAAGGAAAGTCATTAATGAAATTGATATGCATTTATTATTAGATATAAATAGTATGTGGAATTTAATAAAATAGAAAAACCATAAAATGACATGTGAAATAAAATTTAATTTAAAATAACCATAAAATTACATGTGGCAAAATGAATAAGAATATGACATGTGACAAAAAGATCTATATTTATTAGAGTATATATATATATATATATATATATATAGATATATATATATATATCTATATATATATATATATATGTGTATGTGTGTGTGTGTGTGAAATGGGCTAAAATAAAAATTTTAAATTATAATTGATATTGACTCGTACTTTAGATGTATTTTCTACATTTTGCTTTTTTTTTTTAAATTCAAAGAATTAACAATTTATGGTCCCCGATTAATCTTCGTCTGGCCGATTAATCCTTTAATCTTAGTCCCCCGACTAGTCAAAGTCAAAGTCCCTTATAATTGATGTGACAACTATCAAATTCAAGTCAAAGTCAACAAGTCAAAGTCAACAAGTCAAAGTCAAAGTCAACATGTCAAACCGGTCAAACTTAACTAATACTTGTATGTGAAAAGTTATTCTATAAAAATGTGTATTGGTATGCCAAAAATTCAAGTGTTTTGGATATGTTAAGTGTTTAGCAATATAAAACCCTAAAAAGGGAGTTAAATGCATCAAAACACGACTAAGGACCCTTTCGGGGACTTAAAACA